GGGGAGCTGATAAGGCGCCGTGCCAGCTATTCTTGTCAGCAGACCGCCCTGGCTAGCTGCAGCGGGCAGGAGGCAGACGCATCCAGCATTCTCAATTAACTACGCCAAAAGCGGCCAACTGAGCTGGAATGTCAATAAGACGATGCATCTCAAGCGCTACAAAGGCCAGCAGGGATATCCATGAAATGCAAGCTGCTTGTGTCCCGTAATGTCCAGGGACTGGTCACCTGACTGTCTTAATTGCGGGGAGGCAGAAAGCGTGCCTGATCGCAGACACGTGATCTCGCAATGGGGGTGGCGTGTCGCCAGAAGGGCGCGCTTAAAAGAAGAGGGGAAGCAGACTGGAGACGGGCGGAAATAGTATTAAATCGAAAGAATGAGGCCTGAGGAGTTCACCACCGTGTGATTATTGCCATTCGCTTCCGTATAAGCACATTCCAGCGCCACAGCCATGGTGAAGATCGAGCCCTTTGCCGTCGAACAAGTACGTACGATGATAATAAACCCGATAAGCCCTCTTCCCCTCCCCCACAGCGAGTTCCCCGCAGCACCGCTCTGACTGGTTGCGACTTGCAATGTATTGTATATACATAGTGGATGGAAAAGTACGAGACGAGCACCACATACAACATCGCAGAGACGTGCTGCGCTTCGATCTCCATTGACGACCTGACGAACTTGTCGTCGGAAAAATCATCCATCGACCCCCTCTCGCTCTCTACGAGGAAACTCACCTATGGCGCCATCAGGGGTTCGGATGAGTTTCGGGGCCATCTGTCCCACCTGTACTCCGTCAAGACGCCCACGCCGCTGCCAAAGGAGAATATCCTGATCACGGCGGGAGCGATCCAGGCCAATTTTCTGCTCTATTACACTCTTGTTGGTCCGGGAGACCATGTCATCTGCCACTATCCCACCTACCAACAACTGTATTCCGTTCCCGAGTCGCTGGGAGCGGAAGTGACCTTGTGGAAGGCGAAGCAGGACGATGGGTGGGCATTGGATGTCAAGGAGCTGGAGAGCCTCATCCGGCCGAACACCAAGCTCATTATTCTCAAGTACGTCTATGTCGGGGTCCTTCTGCCAGGCTGCGATGACCAGGACTGACCACCTCTCAGCAACCCTCAGAATCCCACCGGTGCCATCATTCCCCGCTCCACTCTCGAAGAGATTGTCGACATCGCTCGTCGCCAGTCCATCATCATTCATGCAGATGAGGTCTATCGACCCGTCTTTCACTCCATCTCGCCGGGGGATCCGGAGTTCCCGCCTTCTGTGCTCTCCCTTGGATACGAGCATACGGTCGCGACCAGCTCGATGTCAAAAGCCTACAGTCTCGCAGGGATCCGGGTAGGCTGGATCGCATCCCGCAGCAAGGCCATCATTGACAGCTGCATGGCCGGCAGAGACTACACCACCATCTCCGTTGGACAGCTGGATGACGCCATCGCGAGCTTCGCGCTTGCGCCACACTGTATACACAATCTGCTGCGTCGGAATATCGACCTGGCCAAGACCAACCTCGGGCTGCTGGAGAAGTTTATAGAATCGCACCGGTGGGCCTGCGATTGGGTCAAGCCCCGAGCGGGCACCACCGCATTCGTGCGCTTCTCCAAGATGGGTCGGCCCGTAGACGATGTCGCCTTCTGTAAGTTCCTGAACGAAAAGGCCGGAGTGCTGTTTGTGCCCGGCAGTCTGTGTTTCGGCCGGGATGGGGATTTCAAGGGCTATGTCCGGATCGGATATGTGTGTGAAACAGAGGTGCTGGAGAAGGGCCTGGAGCAGTTGCGAGAGTTCATGAAGAAGGGCTTTGAGGAAGTCCCTTTAGCGGAGTAGTCTGGTCCAAACAGCATCATAATACAATAAATAAAAAGGGGAAATAGTGACTTCAAGATCAACCAAGGGAAACACCTTAAAAAAAAGAATACTTCATGGAGCACAATATTCCCCATATAATAGAGACTGCGAAGAACTCCAGCTCCGCGTGATGGTGAACTTGAAAATGATTTATTTTGGTCGAGATGCGAGCCATGGATAGATACCTACCCGGTAACTTTGCATGTGACATGTGACTTTCATGTGACTTTCGACTGCCAGTACAGAACCTTGATTGGATTATTATACTCGTCTGTTATTGATGTAATCTGGCATTAGGAATTGGTATATCGTTTTTCCTTTCGTTTTCGCTATGATATATACAATATAAACACGGAATTTTTTAAAAAAAATCTTCGTAATGCAAGCCGACAGCTTCTCATAAAGACTCGATTCATCCATGTTTTATTAAACACGCTCCATTTCATGAACATCACGCTTCACTTCTGCTATCTCCTGGGTCACTGGTAACTTCTCTTCTTTACCCTCGAAGATGTACGTCAGCTCCTCGAGGGTCGGCCCCGCCGTCTCGACAAAGAAGAAGTAGACAATGAGGAAGATGAGAGCTACCCAGACACAGTAGTAGATATAGAAACGCCAGCCGATATTGGCCAGCCCGATCGGGTTGACGTAACCCCCAAAGATGGAAGATACTTGGATCGTAAGCAGGACAAAGACCCACGTCTTGGCTCGCATCTGGTAGGTGACGATTTCCAGGGGATATGTGACGACCAGATTCGTCCACGCCATGGTGTAAAAGGCTTGGAAGATGAAGATACAGGCCAAGACCAAGCGGCCAGCAGCCAAAGAATTATGTTCGATGTATTGCTGAGAAGCGATGGTCCATACAATGAAGACGACAAGCACCCCGCCGGAGCCGGTGACGAAAAAGGTCCGGCGCTTGAAGCGGTCGATAAAAATAGTGACAGTCACTGCGACAATGTATTGCCAAAGGGTCACCATGCCGTTGACGAGTGTGATCTGGGCCTGGGTTTTCAATCCTGTATCTTTTAGGATCTGTGTGAGGTAATTCGAAACGAGCAGGTTTCCGGAGCTCTGGCTGAACAGGGCGGTCAGAAAGCAGAGTGCAATGCGTTTCAGATTGGGCACCGAAGAAAAGAAGTCTCTCCACGTCATGTTGTTTTCAGCCTCCTTTGCGAGGACCTGTTGGATCTCTGCGAACTCGAATTCAACCAGCTTCGAATTAGGGTCACACTCCCCGTGGTACTTGACAAGGATATCCCTGGCCTTCTTAAGGCGGCCGTGAGCAATCAACCAGCGGGGAGATTCGGGGCAGAAGAAGATCAAGCAGAATTGGTAAGCGGACGGAATGATCTGGATCAGAGTAGGCAGGCGCCATGACCACTGGCTATTGATTCGATAACATCCAAAGGTCACCCAGGCGCCAATGACATAACCAAGGACAATGGATGTGTTGTAAAAAGTAGTTATCTGCACACGCTCTTTCGGATGGCTCAGCTCGGTGACGAGGACCGGCGCGCCCATTTGGATCAGCGACGAGCCTACTCCTAGCACTATCTTGCCGCCGATGTACATGTTCAGCGACGTTGCGAAGAATTCAACAATGACTCCGGCAATGATGATAACCGACCCCAGCGCCGTTGGCACTCGCCGGCCCAGGACATCCCCAATCCAACCGAGAAATAGGAAGGGAATCACCCCGCCAATGGCATTGGCAGCCCCGAAGAAACCCAGCTTGGAGCCCGTGGGATACCCAAAGCGGCTTTGCCAGGACTCGAGAACTTGCATGCCGTTTGTCATGGACTAAAATAGACAGTTCAGATTGTCAATGCGCGGCACCCGGAACCTGCAACTCAGCAAAACTCACCCCATCGATTCCCAGCGCAGCACTCGCCAACAGCGACGAAGTAAGCAGAAAGTAGAGCAGGATGCCATTCTTGCGTCGATAGAAGGGCGGGATCGACTTGAGGTCAATTGGTGGCAGGATACCGTCGACAGCGTGAGCGGCCGCAGGAGCCATCTCGACCAGTCACGCTATGGACCTAGGAACGAGGATGAACAGAGAAGAGGGACGAAGACTAGAATCTTATCTTAAAAGCAAAGAGAGGAGCGTGGTCCAGAACATCCCCGCAATTGACGTTCTGGGGCTGTTATTTATATCCGAGATGACGCTGCATCACCGTGCGCTCCGTCTGACAGCTTCCCTTAAGACACGCTAACCTTAAATTACTTTATTTTCCTTCCTCTTTCTCTTCTTTCTATTTTTCTCACCTGTTTCTTCCATCCGGGGTCTGGGGAAAGTCCCACGGGCCTGTGCGGAGAAGGAACTGTGCTTGGAGAGCCAGACCATCGGAGAACAGGAGAATCGGAGAATTCTACGGGGTCAACGGGCACATCTACCGGCGAGACCATCGGCGTCGAACTATTTGTACACCGCTGGAAAGACAAAAAGAGACGCGTAGAAGCGGGGTCGGGGATTGGACTGGGCGCGGGCTGCGTTCCGCAGACGGAGCGGGACCAATGGGCATGCCGGTCGCCCACGTGGGCGTTTGTCCGCGATATTCCCCGATGACCAGGGACGAGCAGCTTCACTGACATCGGCGAATCTCCCATGCCAATGACCACAGAGACGAAATTCATCATGAAAAAAGATAACAATGGGCAGTGGAACAACCTGGATCGACCGCTTTTCGGGCTGACAGGTTCAGGTGGATTCCGGTGGGCGATCAAATCCAGCCGCAAGTCAGTTGAAGTTAACTCCTTTTCTTCTTTCTCTCTTTTCACTCCATCTCTGCAGCTGCTGCCTTGTCAATTTGTTCTTTCGTTGCTGCCCCGTCGAGGACGACAATTGATTCCATCATGCCTATTCCCAACCAATTGCCCCATGATTTCGAATGGGGATTTGCAACTGCTGCCTACCAGATTGAAGGAGCTGTGGACAAGGACGGTCGCGGGAAGAGCATCTGGGACACTTTTTGCCATCTGGAGCCTTCAAGGACTAAAGGCGCAAATGGGGACATCGCGTGCGATCATTACAATCGCTATGAAGAGGACTTGGATCTCCTGTCAGCCTACGGTGCTCAGGCATATCGATTCTCCATCTCCTGGTCCAGAGTGATTCCCCTGGGAGGTCGAAATGATCCGGTAAACGAAGCCGGTATAGCCTTCTATAACAGACTGATCGATTCTCTTATTGCCAGGGGGGTTACACCTTGGGTCACTCTCTACCACTGGGATCTTCCGCAGGCACTCCATGATCGCTACGGAGGCTGGCTAAATGTAGAGGAATCGCAGCAGGACTTTGAGAGATATGCTCGACTCTGTTTCGAACGGTTTGGGGATCGAGTCAAAAATTGGATCACTCTCAACGAGCCATGGATCGTATCCATCTTTGTGAGTCTGTCGTGAACCTCCGCTGGGAAGCATGACGTTCGATCAACTAATGTCTCCCCAAGGGATATGCCACGGGGATCAATGCGCCAGGTCGCAGTAGCATAAATAAAGACGCCTCTGAAGGTGACACGTCAACAGAACCCTGGATAGTCGGGAAGTCTCTAATCATGAGCCACGCCCGCGCCGTGAGACTCTACAACAGAGAATTCCGTGCGTCACAGAAGGGTGTCATTGGTATCTCCTTAAACGGTGATTACTATGAGCCATGGAACGCCGAAGATGATCGAGATAAAGCTGCAGCAGAGCGACGCATGCAGTTTCATATTGGGTGGTTCGCAAATCCGATACTGTGAGTGGCTTGCTGCTTTCAGCACTCCGCAACTCAACCGTCGAGCCCTCCTAATTTATCACAGTCTGGCCAAAGATTATCCTGAATGCATGCGCGAACAGCTCGGTGAGCGACTGCCCCAGTTCTCCGCAGACGAATTCTCGCTTCTGAGAGAAGCAGAGGTGGACTTTTACGGCATGAACTACTACACAGCCCAGTTTGCTCGTCATCGATCGGGGCCGCCCTCGGAAACAGACTTCCTGGGCAACGTGGATGAGCTGCAGGAGAACAGCGATGGTGTCTCGATCGGAGAAAGGAGTGGTGTCCATTGGCTTCGATCATGTCCGGATAAATTCCGGAAACATCTGACACGCATCTATCGCCTCTACCAGAAGCCGATATACGTCACCGAAAATGGCTGTCCGTGTCCTGGTGAAGACAAGATGACGCGCGATGAAGCCGTCAGGGACACATACCGCATCAAGTACTTCGAAACGCACCTTGACGCCATCGCTCAAGCAATAAACCAAGATGCCGCTGTCGTCAAGGGGTATTTTGCGTGGTCTCTGCTTGATAACTTGGGTGAGTTTGGACTTCCTTGCCTCTGTAGTAAACGCTGCTAATTCAGCTCAGAATGGTCTGACGGTTTTGGCGTTCGGTTTGGAGTTACGTATACCGATTATGACACATTGGAGCGAACACCAAAATTGTCAGCGCGTGTCTTGAAGCAGTTGTTCGAAGAGCGCATGGGAAGACAGGCACAAAAGCTCTGTCAAGAACAGGATTCTCGGGCATACCAATCAGAGAGCCCCAAGCCCCGTATGTGAGATAGGACTGCAAGCATCGGGGAGTTTTGGGGCTCACTGTGAAAAAAAGCTGTTTTCTCAAGATATTCCCGATCAAGGTGATAAGAGCTTTTTTGGATTGATAGACATTCTCAATAGACATAGACCTTATTCTTATCCCTTCTAGTTTAAGAGAATAGGACTTTCGGTGCAAGTCGCTTGGGCAGCGCAAATTTCAAACAGGTTATACTAGACATGTTAGTGAGGGATATAGCGAGAATTATGGCAAGTAATACAAATAGGAAGCCTGCCCAGAGAGTAGATCGTAAAAACTTCGTCCTCAGTAGGCTTGGTGACCGAAAGTCCCTGGCATAGACAAGGTATTTTCTCTTCAAAGCAGTCGAACGAAGAAAGACCTTTGATTTGTACTGTACATCACATCATGAGAAGCACCACGCTAGGGAACCCAGGAACTGTTCCGCAAAGCGTCGGACGCTTTCGAATCCAGTCTTGTTAGAATATCGAGCAGGACCGTAAAGTCACTTCGTGCTCGGGATGAAAGCGGTGAAGTTTTATTCCGATGGATGATTGCGAGTAAACTTGCCCCAATGAGTCGGATTTTTTCAACCTGTGCCTTACAGTCAGAAAGAGAGCGCGTCTTCAAGATCCCGACAGAAAAATTGAGTCATGCTTACACAGGGCTCTCCATTAACCTGCAACGCCCAGAAGGGCGCTTCGCGGATCACCCGTAACATGTCACGGGCGATTTCGGTTTTTCTCAAGAGCAACAAGTCCGTTTGTTCCACTGTCGGAGTCAAGAATTCTGGTCCCTCAAACTTCTGAGTAATTACCATTCTGAGGCAGTGGAACGAGACCTGGAGATTGACCCTCTGGATCACCGCCTGCTTTGAGTGATCGCGTCCCTCGTTTGCGCTCCCAAAATTGTCGATCTGCAAATGGAGAGGCAGATCATCGAGACAGGTCATGAAGCGAACATATAGCGCATCGATGCGACCTCTTTGTTCGTCAGTAAGGGGTTGTCCCAGGACCCGGTTCTCTTGTAAGATTCTTATTTCAAGCAGGAGATCAGATGCGGCTTGCCATAGGCGTACGTTTGCATTGAATCCTGCGATGAAGTCGGGTTGCGCAATATCTGTCCGTACTTGGCCCGGAGAAATGGCGGGTTCATTGACAATGCCAGATGGATAGGGCGTCGTGATGCGAGAATCGAACGAAAATTTATGCAAGGTAATGGGACGATTATTCAAAATAGCAGCTGACTTATCTCCCATATAGACAATCCAGAACGCTCTCCTGCGCAGCTCCGCCTCGACGGGAAACAATCCTTCGTACGATGATTCATCATGTAATTGCATCACCTGGACCAGTCTGGCGGCCTCTCCAAAAATATGCCATGAGTATTTGGGCTTGCCGGCGGCGTGAAGGCAGTTGGAATGAAAGTATCGGATGGTCACCGAATTTGCATTCGGGTGTTCCAGATCAGCCTCTATGTAGCTGTTTAGACAATCCCGGGAGGCGTTCAGAAACACATCGGCGATGAGGTCTCCTTCAGGAAAGATCTCTGCTGGAAGCAGGGAGGCTGCTTCGGCGCAAACGGCCGTCAGAAGTGTGAAGGTGGACTCGGGCCATGATTCTGGATACTCCAGGGTGCCCACCGTGTCCAGAGTCGAAGTGTCACTACCAGCTGCATTCCTTTGAACGGAAGGTGACCAGAGCTCCGCGGTAGTCTTGCTTGCGCGTCGAGCGTGAAGATTTCGCGTCACGAAGAAGTCTAGTCCGGCCCGCAGACTCGGTTCGTGAACCAATGGGATCAAAGGGAAGAGATACTCGAAATACAGATCGAAACATTTGTTGGCAAGCCTTTCCAGGGTGAGCGTGGGGATCTTGCAGGCCACGGCTGCAGCGAGATCATCCCAGCGCTGGAAAGACGAGAGGAGACGCGACGACGCGGTGTCGGAGATGGGACTGGGCACGGGCTGCTGCTGGGAGACCTGCGACGAGGACAGAGCGGGATTAATGCCGACGCGGGTCTCCCACGTGGCGCTTGGCAGGGGAATGTTCTCAGAGGTCCCCAGGGAAGGCGCAACTGACTCGGCATTCCGTTCTGGCAGCTGCGACACAGGCGGTTCCTGGATCAGAGGCACCGCGTTGAGGGCTTCGGCTCTCGACTGTCGGGTCTTTGGGCCTCGTCGTCCCACGGGCATAAAGAAGGTGCAATCGATGCCGGCTAGTTGGCACCTGCTGCAGGCCGACCCGGTGAAATCGCACTGGTAACAGATGGTAAGTGGCCCCGTCTTGCACCTGTTCTATGCGAAGTTGGGGACTCACTCACCCTCGCCTTCCTCTTCCGGCAGCGATCGCACGCCCGGTCGGACGGCCCACGCTTGGCCTTGCTCATGGCAGACAGTAGTAATAGTGCGTAATAGCAGGGTCTAAGTCAATCCATTGTACATACTCAGCAATGCTTGAAAATAATCCGATGTCCAGGAGCATTTGGCCGCTCAAAGGATCCTTTAATATTAATCTCCAGCCGTATTTCCCCGCCGCCTAGTAGATTAGGGTTAGTGAGTGGGGAAGCTTTGGTAGAATTTCTCTGTCGCGCATCTTTCCCACCTTCCAATCACCGAAAATTCATTCGTTGAAATGATGGAGCTATACCATAACTCGCTGAGATTGCGGAGTATGGGGTAGGATATACTCCGTCCTCCGCACCATGTTTTGGCTATGTATATAGACCCTGCGAAAGGCACGCAATGTGCCTGCCAGAGAGCAGTTGAGTCCATTCATGCGTTCTGAATTCGGTATGCGGGTGTTTAGGGCATCTCTGCTCCTTGCCTGGGCGACAACCGCCACAGCGCGTCCAGCGCTGAAGTCCCGTGGTACACCATCATGTCGCTTTGCTCTCCAGTACAACCAAAGCGATATTCTGAACGATCCAACGGACTTCATCATGGATCTGCTGTATTGGGAGGGCCGTTTCCACCAGAATAGCGTGGGCTATAATACGCTCAATGGCATGTCGTACGACGGGACTCAAATTGATCTGACGACCGGCCTGGCAACCTCACAGCACAACTTCAGTGCTGCGAGTAAAGAGGTCAGTAGAAGTCCGCAGATATCCCGAGTGGAGTTTTGCTCACTCTTTTCTTTTTTCCCGCCTGCAGTCACTCCAGGTGATGGTTTATGCCCATGCGATAAATGGCTCGCAAGAAGCTGCCCAGTTCCTTTCACCATCCAACCCAGAGGCTGCGCCAGATATAGCAGCTTCTATCTTGGAGACAAAATTGGCTACTTACCTAAAGTTCAACGAAACCTACCCGGGATTCGGAGGCTTTCTTCCCTGGTACAATAATGCCAAGGATACCCGGGATATCTCGCCGACGTGGGACTGGGTTAATCGCGTTCCAGCATTAGACAATGGGTATAACTCTAGGTCTCCATGTTGATTACTGGGCGCGAGAAGCTAATTACTCTGGCTAATTACTCTCTTGTGTCATGATAGTGAGCTGTTATGGGCTGTGTACAGCGCCATTGAGGTCCTAGAAAGCAGTCATAATGACTCATATCAGCGGCTAGCGCAAGGCTGGCAGCGCTGGCTAGACTACACAAAAACAACAGCAGCCAAGGTAAAAACCTTTCTCTCCTCCCATCCCTCTATCTCCATATCTTTTTGCGCCTTTTTTCTTCCAGTTCTGCCAGAGCTAATAATGCTGCACTCTTAAGATCTTTTATGCCGGCCAAGGCCAAGTCTGCGCAGTCACTGCCATTCGGAACCAATCCTGGCCTGTGAATGACCCACGACAGAACTATTCGTGCGCAGATGACGGAAGGATTAACGATCCGTATGAGGGCGAATTGTTCACGTGGTGGCTGCAGTTCTTCGGTGGTCTATCTGAAAACGACAAGCAGATGCTATGGGAGGTCAAGAGACCCCAGCTAGTGAGTGTCGAATACAACATGGGTGGTGTAGGACCAATTACTGTCCAGGAAGGTTTGTATCTCCGCGTGTATCCATATAATTAACTTCTAATATGCGATCAGGATATTGGTTTTCAGGTCACGAGCAGTGGAAGGTGCTCGAAATGCCCTATTACGATGTTGACATCATTAGGTAGATATCGTTCGCTCCAACTTATCACAGTCCACGCTGACTATGACTTCCCCCAAGGCGGCTTTACAACAACGCCGAACGAGCTCGCACCTGCAACTCGGTTGTGACGAAAGTCCCCGGAATGTTCGCTTCAGTCAACAATTCAACGGATCCTAGCACGGGACAGATAATTGGCTATATCTCCAACGCTGGAATTCCTTCTATTGCAAGCCAGACTGTCCAGGAACTGGATGTCATTACTCCTTACAGCGTCTTTCCGACCTTGCTTTTCGACAAAAAAGTCGGTCTCGCCTGGTGGAGGAACATGGTCATTGCTAAAAAGATGCAAAGTATGTCGATGCAGCACTGATTCCTTGTGGCATAATATAAAAATGAATTGATTGGCTGACCTGTTTCTTCCTTTATCCAAAGATCCCTACGGCAGCACCGAATCCTCCCGCATCGACGGAACCTTGATCTCCGGTTTGGTGACGTGGGATAGTAAGATTACGACAGTCAACGCCCTTCTTGGCGGTGTGTCGGACTTTGTCCGCCAGAGGATGATCAAGGATGGAATTTATCAAGAATTTATCGATATTATCCAGGTAAGGGGAAATTTCCCAAGTCTCCTTTTTGCTCCATTCATGCCTTGGCTTTGGTACTGTGGTCGAAGCCGCAATACTCTGTCTATCACCATCGCGACGATTCTGACAATCTTCTGCGACATAGGCTGAATACACGAGCGTCTTCAAGAGCCTGAAAGGCGAAAATATTCCTTACTGTCTACCAGAGGAGACCATTCCAGATCGAGGATTGGTAGAATTCACGGAGTGCAATTAGCTTAATTGGTCCCATACAGAAGACAGTTCTACCTGTCTGTCGATATGTACATATAATTTTTGCCAGGACTGTGCAGTACATCGTGGGACACCTTTAAATTATACACATGGCGTTCAGATCCTTGACATGAGTTTTCATTCACCATGATACTGAGGCATACGACGCGACCGGCGAAAATGCTATCGTTGGAGTCCTTTAAGATCATAGAATCGGCGAAAGTTGGACTGGCAATGAGTGGTTAACGCAGTAAGAACGACCTGCACGAAGCAATCCCATGCTCTTTCCAGGCGCGTGCTCGAGTTGGCACGCCGAGGTTGAGGCCCCTGAGGGTTACCGAATTAGGCAGCTAGCCACCTGCAGTCTGCAGAAGGAGCGGCCCGCATAGGGTTAGAGAATTCTATTACTTGCCTAAGTAAACGCTGCTTCTCCACTGATCTTCTGGCTGTTCCCCTTCCCGTTCTGAGAGCACGAGCTTGCTGTCATCTTAGCTGCTCCGAGCCCCCTTGCGTCGGGAGAATGTGACGGCCATGCAACACCAGTCCACTGCAATGTCCTTCTCAAAAAGGAATCATTGATCTTGCAGACGGTGTCTGAACATGGAAATAAGAAATAAATCTATCAGGAACATTGAATGTTGCCTGCGTACCGACCAGGTGGTACGTAAGTGGCCCACCAGAGCGCGGCCACCGCCTGCCTCCCGGGGGCGGAGCACAGCGCATTCCTGTCATTCCTGCCGTCTTCATATGTCGCCTTCATCGAGCCGAGGCATCTCCATCGCTCCTTCCCAGCGCTAATAAAATAAGATGTTCCGTCACTTCCGTGCCACACGGCTACCTACATGAACCTCCAAGTCGGCCCTCCCCGCTCTTTCTTTGTTTTCCCAAACCTGCTGTTGTGTCGCTTCATTGCGTCTGTTCGGCGGGTTCTCTTCTTTTCCGATCTGGATTCGTGGACATAGCCCCCAGGCTGCCTAGTCATCGCGATGCCACAACTGCCACCACTTCCACCACTTCCACCACTTCCTGCTCTCACAGGTGCGACTACGACCAGTTCAAAGATTGAGGACTTAATATTCTGACCATGGACCCTTGTCTAGACATTCCCCTGCGAATCGCGGCTCCTGCTGTCGCCGCCTCGCTAGCCTACCTGAATGCGAGATGGTCCGTCTTCTACGACTGGAACCTCCTGAGCGCTTTGGTCCGAATATTGCTGAAATCCAGATTGGCGGAGCACTGGGACCGCATTAATTTGTTCTATGTCCTGGAGAAACATGCTCTCGCTTCCAGCACCGCCAACCATCCCTTCATCGTCTACAATGGCCGGACTTGGACTTTCCACGAGACATACCAGACTGCCCTGCGATACGGCCAGTTTTTCAAGAATAAGTTCGGGGTCAAGCCGAAGGAAATTGTTGCTATGGACTTTATGAACTCGTCCAATTTTGTGTTTATCTGGATGGGCCTGTGGAGCATCGGTGCTGTTCCAGCCTTCATCAACTACAATCTCAGCGGCAAGCCGCTGACACACTCGGTCAAGGTGTCGTCGGCTAGGCTTTTGATTGTCGATGAGGAGGTCCGCGATCGCTTCCCTCCGGAGCAGCTGGCCACATTCTCTTCTCCGGATTTTAGAGACGACAAGGGGCCGGTGGAAGTGGTCTTCTTTACCCCTGACTTGGAGGCCCAGATCCTGCAAACCGCTCCCATTCGGGAAGATGACAGCGCCCGAAGTGGTCCTATCGGCCGCGATATGGCCATGTTGATCTATACCAGTGGAACGACTGGACTTCCAAAACCTGCCATTGTCAGCTGGTTTAAATGTTGGGCGGGCGGCACATTCATCACCAAGTGGATCAGCCTGAAGAAGACTGATCGAGTATTCACGGTGAGACTCCTTTTCTCCGTGTCTGAAAACTTGCTAGCTCAGAGCACTGACGTTTCTAGTGTATGCCTCTCTACCACTCCACGGCGGCGATATTGGCCTTTTGTGCCTGCCTGATTGGCGGGACGACGCTCATTATCGGCCATCGCTTTTCCGCGAGAAATTTCTGGAAAGAAGTGCGCGAAAATGACGCCACGATCATCCAATACGTTGGTGAAACCTTGCGCTACCTTCTGGCTGTGCCTCGCGAGGTTGACCCAGTCACGGGCGAGGATCTCGACAAGAAGAACAATGTGCGGGTAGCTTACGGGAATGGGCTGCGTCCAGATGTCTGGAATCGGGTCAAGGAGCGTTTTGGCATCGAAACCATTGCCGAGTTCTATGCTTCTACCGAAGGGGTCTCGGGACATTGGAATATATCGTCCAACGACTTCGCAGCTGGTGCCATCGGCCGAAATGGCTACCTCGCACAGCTCCTCCTTGGACGGACCATGGCCATTGTCGAGGTAGATCATGAGACCGAAGCACCGTGGCGCGATCCGAAAACAGGGTTCTGCCGCCGTGTGCCGCGAGGAGAGCCAGGGGAGCTGATCTACGCTCTTGATCCGGACAACATCTCGCAGGGATTCCAAGGCTACTACAACAATTCGAAGGCGACCGAAGGGAAAATTCTTCGCGATGTGTTTGCCAAAGGTGATGCCTGGTTCCGGACCGGCGATATGGTGCGGTGGGATCACGAAGGCAGGTGGTATTTTTCAGACCGCATCGGCGACACGTTCCGGTGGAAGAGTGAGAACGTTTCGACGTCCGAGGTCGCAGAGATCCTCGGGAACCATCCCGCCATTCTGGAAGCCAACGTGTACGGCGTTTCGCTGCCGCATCACGATGGACGCGCGGGCTGTGCAGCGATTGTTCTCCGAGACCAAAATGTTGCGAGCGAGGGCCAGCCGGCTCCGGAACCATCAGCAGCAGTTCTCGAATCTCTGGCCGCTCATGCGCTTGCCAATCTGCCCCGATACGCGGTTCCATTGTTCTTGCGAGTGACTCCTCAAATGCAAGCGACGGGCAACAATAAGCAGCAAAAGCACACCTTACGGGTTGAGGGTGTTGATCCGTCGCGTGTTGCCGCAACTGATCGACTATACTGGCTACAGAATAACAAGTATGTGCCTTTCGGGACAGAAGATTGGGAAAGATTAAACGCTGCGCAAGTCAGGCTATAGTTCTGCTAGCCTACCGTGCTTTTTTACATTCGCCTTCGCTCTTTGATCCTATGATACCCGAGTCTGAGACGATTCATGGTAGAGTCATGAATCCTAAACTTTGTTCTAGTATTATACATTACTAGTCGTATATAGTTATCATTATCAGTCAAAGCGAAAGAACATTCCTACCCGACAATAGTTCCATAGACACCAGCCAAGTATGACGATCATATGCAACAAGTCATGCTTTCACATGAGCAAGGTTGCCGAGGTTGTTTCCTCCTTAAGTAATTTCAATCGGTAAAAATCAAACTCACGATGCCACGAATCACTAGCCCACAGACGTCATGAAACAATTCTAGAGATCACAAAAATGATACGTATATGCAAAATGGGACGTATATGCACGAATTGATTGCCGAAGTTCAAGGGTACTTGATGTCTGAGCGGAGAAACATCGCCCGTTGGAGGAGTATAGCACACTCAATGGCTGTGTCTAACGTAGGGATCCATATAGTGATGTTATCTTCGTCAGAAGCCATGTTCTTTTATGTTGACAGAATGATTGGATGTGTTACCCCGTCTTTTCACTTTTGATACTATAAAGGTCGTAACTGTGGTAATTAAAACTTTATATACATGCCAATTTTGTTACTTATATAAGTAACAGTTTCGGGAAGTACACGTATGTATATATAAATGCTGTTTAAGGGAAAAATGTCACGACTCCTTAATATCCGCCTTCATGGCGATGACACCGTCATGGTCGTAAATGTTAACTTTGCTCTCGTGCCCCAAGTCCTCCAGCACGATTTCATACTCCTCGTCCGCATACAGCGGACTCGTGGCGCGGTACGAGATACTCTGCGGCACTGATATCAACGAACTCTCATCATCATCAGACTTGCTGCGTTCTTCCTGCCGCACATCCCGCCAGAGATCGAGGATCGAAATCAGATTCAATGGTCCGTGGACGACGATGTTCTTGTGTCCTTCTACGTCGCGGGCCCAGGGCACGGAATAGTGGATCTTGTGTGGGTTGAAGGTCAGTGCCGAGAAGCGGAATAGCGTCACTGGACTGCGGCAGAAGCTGCGTTTGTGGATCTTCTTCTTCCCCGCGGATGATGGGTCAGATGATGATGATGATGACGCTGGAGATGGAGCGGAAGTCGTCTGTTGTTGGTTCGGGGCCGGAGGAGGAGATGTGAGAGCTTTTCGGAAGACCCAGTTCCTGGACAGCAATTTATCTATCAGAAGACACACCTAGGAAAACAATAATATGTATGCTTTCAGGTCAGGCGCAATACTACCGTTGATCGACAACCGCAACGCCATCCTCGTTCTCAAACGTCTTCTCGACTCCGACAACGATCATCTCTTCTCCCGTCTTCCTCACCACTTTGGGCTCTGCGCTCAGAACCCTCGTGGTTTCCTTGACTTCCTGTCCCACGCGCAACAGGTTCGGTTTACCGTTTGCGTCTCTGGGCCATCGCACCTCGCCGCCAGCCCACATCCGCCGCGTGAACGGAGCGTCGGGGTTGTACGAGGTATCCGTCCCGTCAGCACCGAGCTCGTGCTCGAGGAAAGCGGGCGTAAAGTAGACGAGGTGATATCCCGGCGGAACGGGAGTGCCGTTGGGAGGAGGAGGGGCATTGCGGGAGAGATCAGAAGTGCCAGGATAGAGGGTGGGCCGGTCCAGCGTGAGGGAAAGCAGCTGTAGCTGATTGGCGTCGAGAACTTGCGTGCGGGTCTGCGGACCCTGCGACTGAAAGCGGGAGAGGAAAGAAGAGGCAACTGAAGAGGCATTTGGGGATGAAGAGGCATCGTAGGAGGAAGACGTGCTGCTGAATGTACAGACTCGGCTCTGGCATGATGACTGGACAACAGTCATCAACCGAGCCAAGGCCGGTCTCTTTGACAACAACATGGTGCGGAATCCTCTCTCTACTGGAGTAATGCAACGCAGTGGATGTGCTGGCTACTACTGATGATGCAAAATGGACTCAATTGACAAAAGGGACGTGATATTTGAGAAAATACAGGGGCCCGAGTCGTACTCGGAGCATGCTGCAATGCGGAGAAGTAGGAGTGGGGCGTCGGACCTCGGGTTTCGCCAACTCCTCTCGAAACTCGGCTCACAACCGAATCTCGCAATCTCGAGAATGCAGCATCGCATACACTACAGAATTTCCCACGTAGCTGATCGTGTTAGATACAGGAATCTAAGTTCGTCGTAGATCGTAGTTCCATGTTTGATGGACTAGAGGCATGCACTTCGCGTGTCCTGCTTTGGATGGCTTTATTGAGATTGAGATTGGTGGACCTGCACTGAATGTCTGTCGGGGATGCTGGTAATTCTATAGAGCTAAGTTTAATGTCACATAGCAGTTAATATGCCGTCTGAAACAATTGACATCAAAAAGCCTACTACTGGGGTGTCGTTGGAAAACGGATTAAGATGCGCTTGCCGAGATTGCACGTGGAGGATCCGTGGATCGTGCAACTCCGCTCGAGATCTCGACTGCCCGAGGTCAACTCGGTCTCGCCATCCCTGTTGTCCACACTCGCTCTGTTTGGATTTATTGATACCTTGCTTCTTTCTCTCAGTCTTGAACTCGACAAAACACGAATAATTGGAAGAGTTGGAGACGTTTGTTCAACTTCTACCGTTCGGTACACTAACGAGGGATTTCGTGGTCCCATCTCGGAATTGGGAGGCAGACTGAATCCGAAGGGACATGCATTTAGTCCTTCAAACAGTTCCAGAAGCCGAACGGACATCTCGAGAGTGATCGCCACATCCAAGAACCATGTTCTTGAAATCATGACTCTCCCATATCCAACACCCGCGGCGGGCTCTTCTCCTCTCCCCGCTATCTCGGTATCGGAATTGCTCGCACGAGGCAAGCCGTTCGTAGAGTTCCCAACTTACAGCATCCTCGACCTCAAACGTGAGACGGACTTGGGAGAGAGTGAAGGAGGTGCAAAATCATCAGAAAACAGCAATGGAGTCTCGAGTGCTCAATCGGCGAGTTTCGCGGACTGGCTGTCTCGAAAGCTCCAGATTGGTCATCCGTTTGTCATCAAGGGGTTCAACAAATTGCCCGAATGGGACGGGAAGTTGTTTTCGATTGAAGGATTGATTGAGTGCTCTACTCGGAAGAGTAAGTATCTTTCTTTCTGTTATTCTCACTGAGATAGTAATCGGGAAGGCTATTGTCATCCTTCCTAGTATATTGCTCTAACTCTTCCTAGATATCCCAATTAGAAACTGCACCACTGGTCGCGACCTCAGCTTCACACTCAAGAAGTTTGCAGATGCTGCTCGCCAATCTTATCGCGAGTTCAGGAACTTCTACGCGAGGGACCTGCAATGTCCGCCGGAATGGTTGGATCAGTGCCGCAAATTGCTCCCACCGGAATTACAATACGATGGTCGAGCAGATCTTTTTCACTGGCTTCCGCCTTGTGCCAGGAGCGAGGTCATGATGGCGTATGTAGGCTCGGAGGGCTCTTCGTAAGTGGCTCCCAATTCCGTGATGCTTGTGTCTACCATTGACCTTTTCTGTTCAGATCAGGATTTCATCGCTGCTTCTCATCTACTGTTGCCTTGAATCTTCTTGTCGAGTCCATGGGTCGGTGTATACCATAGGTCTATTTACCCTGGATCTGCGACTAACATTGATACTCTGACAGATCGCCCAGTCATCTGCTTTGGGACAGATTTTGCGTCCCAGGTCAAGTATGACTCTTTTATGGCTGCAAAAGGAGCTTCGCCGCACGTGGACTGGCTGAACCTCAGCCCTGATGAGCTGATGAAAGCCGACTTCCCCATATACGTATGCGAACAGGAGGTCGGCGATGTCGTTGTTTTCCCTCCTGCGACAGCCCATCAGGTTTGGAATGTAGGGACCTTGTCGACGAAGATGGTTTGGAATATCCTGCACCCGCTTTCATTGGAAGCGGGTCTCAACTACGTCCAGCCTCCGTTCAATCGTCTCTGTCATCCTGACGTTGCGCGAACCAATCTCTCTTTGGCATGTGCAATGCTCAGCCTGGTCAAGGACAAGGGATCACGGTCCCTGCCACCGGATCTCCCGCTTCTTTCCCGCCTTTTTCGTCAGATGGTTCACGATGAATCCATCGAAGATACTCCTGCGACTGAAGTTACTCTTGTTCAAATTCCTGAAAATATGATAGCGACATGCAACTTTTGCGGTACGGCTATCTGGAATCGTCACGTTCGCTGCACAGAGTGTGGTGACTTTGATCTGTGCTTGCTTTGCTATCTGAGTGGACGCAGCTGTGAGCACGTTTCGAGTTACAGTTGGGCAGAAATAGTTCCGCAGGAGACATGCGACGAAGTGATCCGTCGCGCGAGTGAAATTCTGCGATGTCCTCCGGATGATATTCGAACCAGTAACCGCCGGAAATGTCTTGGAACGGCGGTCAATGATCTGATGAAGGCGCGACGAAGCACGAGCACCAAACTTTGTCATCTGTGCCGGATTGATCACCTTGAGTGGAAAGGCCGACGGTGTGACACGTGCAACGCCTTTTTCTGTTTTCGAGGCCTGTATCGACACTTTGATATGTATGCAGCGGATGTCATGCGCCATTCAGGCATATGGATGTGTCCGAAGTGCCTGGAAACGTGCAATTGTCGGGTGAGTCTTTCATCGTTGTGATACGAGTAGTCATGTCCGATTTCCTTTCTTGCTATGTTTGACTCTCGTTTTAAATTACGAAAGCGTAGTTGCAATAAGATGACTGACTGCGTCTTAGTGTTGCCATTTTCCGTCTGCATACGTCAAGGCTGAGAAACCGGCTTCGAAGCGCAGAGTGAAGCCAATGGATCCTCGGGGTAAGATAATGGGCTTCACAGACAATGTCTTCGATCAGAAAAAAGTTTGTCTCGCTGCTAGCCACCATCATCCTTTGAGCCTGATTTAACACTCGACAGAGAAACCTATCCTCGACGACAACTGCCCACTCGGCTCCTTCAGGGGAGGAGCCAAGGGGACATAAGCGTCCGCTTTCAACCGACTTGACATTTTCTACTCAATCGCGACCTCTCCCTTCCCATGTCGACGGTGCAGGTGACCCCTCAAGTGTGAAGCGGATAGCGTCCAGTTCTGGGGGGAGCAGAGGCGGTCCAGAATCCGCCGCAAGGGAAACGAGCCCTCATCGTCATGACGCTGATATCAGTCATGCTGGAAGTACTACCAATGGATCTTCTAGGCGGAATCGAGGTTCTGAGGACAGATTTACGAACTCGTTCACTCAGGGAGAATCTGTGCAACTGCCGCCAATTAAAACTCGTGGCATCGAACTGCCGTCCAGCTCAACACACGTCTCGACTAGTCACGATCCCGCTTTAGCAATGAATACCCTTGCAAATGCAGCCGGAGCCCGGGACAGGGTCCCAATGACTCAAGTTCAAGAACAGAGGCTTAGTAGCGAAAATTCCTACCTTCCTTTAACCCACGATCAGTCTCGTCGGGAGTCATCTGATCATGGCAATTACGACAAGGGAACCAAGTCCACGTCATCTACTACATTTCGTCCGGAGTCACTGACGACTCAAGGCGACTCTCATTCCCAATCTCACGCCGTTAGGGGGACCAACTACCTTCCACCAATCGTGACAGCAACAGCTTCACAGCCACCCGCGTCTTTATCATCATCTTCTTCTTCTTCTGGAATCTCGTTACAAAGCACGCGCCAAGATGAGCTTGCCACGTTAGAATCGCAGCTCCACCGGCTTCACCAGTACGCAGAGGAGCTTTTGTCATTGTCGCTGCAGGAATCGCACCAGTTACTGCAACGCGAGATCCAGTCTCTCGAGCAGAGGATCTTGTCGATCAAGAGGGAACGGAGTGAGAAGCTTCTTCACGGCCTTGAGAGCGAGTTTCCCGGCCTTGTTGGAGTAAGAGAGGGTATTAAAAAGGAAGGTTCGAAGTTGGGATATTTCTGATGTCTTTGACTAATGAATAGAACTAAAATTCGACATTTGGTGAAAGTTCCTTTCTATACGTCTCTTCTACTAGCTCACTTTGATGCAAAGTCTGGAGACAACTATATGTGTACTTTTACCCATTTTCAAGATCACCTCCCGATCTGAAAAAGAGGGCTAATGGGGAGGCTATTACTCATGGCTTGCCATTGTCAGAAACTTGGTATCTACATACATGTCTCTATACGGACGTAATCATTTAACATATATACACGCGGATTATACATATATATAACCAATTATTGATCTTTTTGCCTTTTCCCACCGGATTCTACGCAGATGAGAGACTAGAACCACAAACACAAGCGTAGGGCACAAATAGTACGCAATTTATTTTTCTATACTTAGCATATAAATGAATACTGAAATGAATTAACTTAGTTACAGGTCAAGATTGTAGGAAAACATCGTTACCAGGTATTCCTCCCAGCCAATGAAAGCTCTCTATTCTGCCTGCTCAATTTCCAGGGCGGTGTCTCCATCTTACTATATTCAGTTAAACTATCAGGGCGGTGAGCCATATTTTCTAACCTAAATAGGAAGTTACACGTGATCCAGAAACCTCGCAGCTGGATTTCGAGCAATTTGGGGGTTGACTGACCTTTCCGCTCTCACTGTTCGGTCAAAAAGATTTCGGCAAGAAAGTACATGAAAATATGTACCTCTTTGCTCACATGACCTGTTGTCATGTAATGTTGAGTCTTATCTGCCTGGACTCCTTGCCGTGATAGGACATGGTCATGTGACTTGGAAACCTCTCACGACATCTCCACTCTCCCTGTGTATGTTTCATGCTTCTGTGGGAGGACTGGATTTAACTATTTTTCACGTGAATTTGGGATCTTATCTTTCTGCTCACTGCATATCTACAATCTCACATTTTATGTTGAAAAAAAAAAACCTCACTGGCAGTAGATAGTTTGTAGTTATTACTTCATCATATGTAGTATTTACAGTAAAGTCACATGAGGAAGGACTAAGAATCCTTAATCTTCTCTTCTCTCACGCTAAGAGGGCTAAGGGAATATATCTAAGCTTGCGTGCCCTGAATAAGAGTTGAGGCTGCTGCATACGGTCTCCATCCATGATATCTTATCAAGATCCTCGATGCGGGGGCACAGCTTAGTCCATTTCGGGGATAGCGACGGAGATAATGCCGGACACCGAACGACGACGTGTTTGCCTAAGCCTAGATCGAGTGTGCAACCAAGCATCAACCATCGGAGATAGCCGACGGAAATCCAAATGGTCGCCCAGATATATATGATCTATGACTAGACAGATTCAATGGATGGCAATCTCTCACAGTTTTCTTTGCCGTCACGGCTTTCTGTCCCTTCGCAAGCAACGACATTGAGTCCCAACGACATGGTGGGGAATGCATTTCCTGATAGCGGGAAGATGGAAGGACCGTACCAAAATACCAGCAGCGAGTCCTCGACTGCCATCGCTCCGCAGAAGGCGAAGAAGAGAAGCAGAGTCCAGTTTTCCTGTACAGCGTGCAGATATCGGAAGTAAGCTCTTTCAAAGGCACAGCTTCTCTGTTGCTGTCAATTTGTGGAACTTGAAATGCTAGTCATCTAACTAATTATATATTCAAGATTGAAATGCGATCGAACATACCCTTGTGATAGATGCACCAGACGCGGAGATGCAGCTTCATGTACCTATGTTGGTCATGGACCGCGCGGGAGGGCATCTCACGGTAACTCCAGCCCGACACATATACAGAACCGCATCCAACATCTGGAGAATCTGGTTCTGTCCTTTGCGCAAAAGAAGAAGCTTGAAGAACAGGATACTTCTCAGACCCAGCACTCAATCACCAAGCAAAGTGGCGGCCTGGGAGACCCTGAATCTTATCTGGAGGCGGAAGAAGACCGTTCAAATGCGGTCTCTGGAGAAAAGAAAACCCTACAGGATTCCCCTGGAAAGCTCCTGGTTGAAGATGTTGGGACAAGCTATGTGGATGCATCACACTGGCGGGCTATCTTGGAAGATGTATGCGCCATAAACCCCTCATAAGACGATGCTGATTTCTGATAACGTTGCCAGATTAAAGAAGTCAAAGAATATCTTCGTGAGTACGATGAAAGCTCAGAAGACTCGGAGATTGAACCTGATATGGACGACTCATCCCGTCCCTCTCTACTCTTCGGATTGGGCAAACCCCCAAGTAAAGAGGAATTACTGGCAGACATCCCTCCGCGTCCTGTTGCCGATCGCCTCATTGCACGGTTTCTGAACTCAGGAGATCCTTCACTCGGTAAGTGTCTCTGCCTGGAGAGAGAGGGTCTATCGAGAGTTCTAATGGAATATTTCCTTGCAGTGATCATCCATTTTCCGACGTTCCAAAAAGAGGTACTAGTTCCATAGCCACAATCTGGTCTCGGTTAACGCTTTGATAGTATGCTCAATTCTGGCTGGATCCGCAAAGTGTATCGGTTCCTTGGCTGGCGCTGCTCTACAGCTGTATGGCGATGGCTGTTGGGATTTACTATCGTAGTGGAGACCCGTTACCAAGCCCCTTGGGTAATTCTTTGGAGACCATGATCCTATACCGTCGACGCTGCTGTCACTGTCTCATCCACGCCAACTACACTAAACCAGGGCGTTACAAAGTCGAGGCTCTCCTGATGTATGCCGCCTCGGAATACTCGAAGAAAGGCAACGCCCCGGTTAGCGTCTCCATCATTCTGGGGATTACCATCAAACTCGCCATGCGTATGGGGTACCACCGAGACTCGAAACACTACAAAAATATCTCTGTCATGGAAGGAGAAATGAGACGACGGGTGTGGGCAGTCATTTGTCAGCTAGATGCCCTAACAGCATTTCAGGTGGGAATCCCCAAGCAGACTCAGAGCTGGCAATGCGACACAGAACTTCCGCGTAATCTTTTCGATGAAGATTTCGACGAGAACACAGCGGAGTTACCTCCGTCCCGACCTGACACGGAGCGTACTCCAGTCGCATATACGATTTCCAAGGCCAGAATTATGTCGGTATTTGGAAGGATCTCTGATCTTGCGTACTCTCGCAAGCCTCCTTCATACGACGAAGTTCTGGAGCTTGATAGACGCCTTGAAGAAGCGCACGAGTCCATAACCCCGGCCTTTCGCATGCGTCCGATCGATCAGTCCATCACCGATGCTCCGGATCTGATCATGCGAAGATATACACTTGACGTGTTGTATCAGAAGGCTCGGATTGTCCTACACCGCAAGTACCTTACAGAAGTTCGATCGGACTTACGACACACTTACTCTCGCTGGGCCTGCGTAAACGCGGCCAAGGAGATTCTACGGCATCAGGCGGATCTCTTCCACGAGTCGCAGCCGGGAGGACGGCTTGACCGCGATCGATGGTTCTTCACCTCGCTCCAAAATCATGACTTTGTCCTGGCTGCCATGATCATCTGCTTGGAGCTTTCCCAGAACAAGCCTTGTCAGACGCAGACCAGACATCCGGGATACGGCTTCTCGGTGGTTCTTGAAGGCCGAGACGAACTTTTACGTGCGCTGGAAACATCCCGCGACATCTGGAAAGCCAATCTTCGGCACTCAGTAGAAGCGCGCAATGCGTTTAATGCGCTGACATTTATGCTCAAGAAAGCCCAGAAAGGTGAATTGGAAACACCGGAAACCGATTCTAGCTCCTTCACAGGAAAGTCCTCCTATGATGATGTAGCGATGGGAGAAAGTGCATCTACTTTGGGTGTGGCTCATGGTATGCATTCGCCCCAGATACTAAATAGCTTTAAGATAGTCTGACCTCGCATCTCCTTATAGGAACAAAGGAGTCGGAGAACCCGTACTCACTCGGCGTCCTTCCAACACCGGGTTCAAATGGCTCGACGACTGTGATAAACGATGGCGCACAGCCCGCGACTGGGGGACAGATGCAGCCGGCATCTCTTGACATCATACAGAGCATGATCGAGGCTCCTAGTGGTCTCGATTGGGTAAGAATCCGTCTTTGTCATCGCTATGCAGATCGCCAGTTGCTGATTGCCGATTCTCTCAATAGCATGTCTTGGATGGCCACATGCAAGATTTCGAGCCAGGCTTCATGGATCAATTCTGGGGACTTAATCCTAATCCTGCGGCGGCCGATTACGAATTGCTTCAGTATTCTTTTCCGCAAAAGCCGGGGGAGGGACCACAGCAGCCTTGAGGTAGAGTAGAGAGTATTGATGCGTGCAAATTCAATGGACTGAGCCAGGGATTCTTTTTTCCCTTCTTCTGATACCAATCGGGCGTCCTGGTTCGGTTGACGACTGTCTTGCTTATATTAAGCCCGGGTTAGTGAAATATGGATATTAAACCATATTAGACTTCTCTCTCTCTTTCTTTGTATGGACGAATCTATTGGAATGTCAACCTTCAAGAACATAACTGTGGGAACACCTAGGAAATACAGGCGATGTCTGAGGTGTCTACATCCTAGAGGATTCTGTCTGTAAAGACATGACGCAAGATCGATCGGCATTCTCAAGGGGGAGATTGGCACATCCCTGTTCTTAGAATGAGTACATGTAAATTTTTAGATAACTACGAGACAGATGTTGGTGTTCTGGACGTGTGCCTCAGTCGTAGCCAGTAGGAAAATCAAGAAATGGCAAGTTGTTGATGCTAAAATTGGATATTTACATTATCCTGTGTTAATGATGTATTATTATTAACCACTCAGCCGTTGATTAAAGCAGCCATGCTCCAGTTACTGATATAAGTAGTTGTATATTGCGAACGGTACGTTCCGAACCTTGACGCCAGTTCGGGATTCCGCGGCCAAAGAGGGAAAGAAAAAAGTCGGGACTCCGAACTGACTCCGAAGATTGAAGCTACGCTACTAACACGACACTCACTTTCTTCAAGACATTCTCTATTATTAGTAGCTAATAATTGATATCGCATTACTGCCATTCTGCGCGCATTGTTGCTTGCTATCTACGTCATTCAATCTTAGGACAATAATTTGTTAATTGTTAATCCTGGTGAACCAACCATACACACGCCGACGGTTCGGCAACAGCAATTGCCTTACACTCAACCTGGATTGACAGCCAAGGCACCAATCTACCTCTCCTACGACGACAATGAAGTCCCTCCTACCTCCTTCTCCTCTTCTACGGAGGAATATTCAGCTTCAGCGACGAGGTAGAATCGTCATCGACCCAGTCCCGCCCACGACGACGACGGTCAAGCAGCAATTGCATTCAATATCAACATCAGCAACGACACCTTCGCGGTCGACAATAGCGATCTCTTTCCAAAGACGACGACTACGACGACTATTACCAGCTCCTCCTCACACACAAACACAAATAATACAAGCCAAACGATCGTTCCACATCCCTCAATTATCCTCCTTTTTCCCGTCCTCCTCTTCCTCTTCCTCGAATAACAACGGCAGCAACGGCAACTCCGACGACGGCCGCACCCTCCGCGCAACCCGCACGCTGCCTTTCCCCCCAGCTCCGCTCTTCGACGTCATCGCCTCCGTCGAGTCCTACGCGGATTTCCTGCCCTTCCTGACGGCGTCGACGGTGACGGCGCGCGATCCGGCGACGGGGTATCCGACGCAGGCGTTCCTGACGGTCGGGTACGGGCCCTTCAGCGAGACGTTCACGTCGCGCGTGGACTGCGATCGGGACAGATGGGTCGTCGAGGCGCGGAGCGGGGGCGGAGTGGCGGAGGATGGGAAGCCCGTTCCTGGTGCCGATGAAGGGTTGTTCAACTACCTCAGTACGCGGTGGGAGCTGATCCCCATTAAGGAAGGGGAGCAGCACAAGGAAACAAGAGTGCAGCTGGAAATCCGGTTCCGGTTCCAGAACCCGTTGCACACCGCCATGATGAGCGCCGTGGAGGACAAGGTCGCTGGCGTCATGATCGAGGCGTTTGAGAGGCGCATCCGGGAGAGGATGTTGTCGAATAGGTATTAATGCGGAGAAGGGGGGTTAAAAAAGTATAGATATGGTATAGACTCACACCTGGTGTGATGTATGTATGTATAGTACGGATGTTATAGTATATCATCGACGCATAGACATATATCGCCTTGCATTGTCATCGAGTCAGCTGCTCAAGATGATTCTGGACTTTAGGTTATTGTTAATTTGTTTATTGATTCAAACGACATAGATAACAAGAACTGTTACGCGATCCAAGTAATGATTCAGTATAATACATTCGCTGAATAACGGAAATACCCATCTATCATTTATTTTTACAGCATGCCCAGACTCCGATGCCTTGTGGCCGGACTGCGCGTCACCTTGGACGCGGACACAGCCTTGTAGTTCTCATACACGGCCTCCCAGTTGATCCTGTTCCACCATCGCTCCAGATACTCCTCCTTGCCGGCGATGCCGTAGTCCATCAACCACACATGCTCCCAGGTGTTGACGCACAGGATGGGCTGGATATCAAGCGCACCGGGCGCCAGGCTCTTCTGGTTCGCGGAGTGGTTGCCCATCGAACCCGCGAACTGGTTGCCCAGAGGAGCGTCCGGGTTCTGGGTGTTCATGTCGACGGGCTGTCGCCGCGAATGGGCGGCCGGGTAGGGCGACCCGGCACTGTACGTGCAGACAATCTGAACCAGGCCCTCCCGTTCCAGGTTCTTGGCCAGCCAGACGAATCCTGGACCGAACATGGCGTTGGCAGCGGCCAGAAAGTCCTGCTTCAGGGACTCTACCGAGGAGCAGCTCTCGTTGATCTCTTTGGCGAACTCGTCGGGGATGGGGACGGAGGTAGGAGCCTGCACGATTCTCCGTCAGACTGACCGAACTATACCGACAATTGGCAGTATTTGTGGATGCTTACAAGGCAGTTGAAGAAGAAGTGGTTGTTGTGAGCCATTGAGGCGTAGTTGAACAGAGCTGCCATCTCTGGTCGTCGAGCGTATTTTATCAGAAGCTCTCCGGGTTTGGCGTCAGCGTCCACGGTGTCTGTCGACAGAGAAGATTAGAGTTGTTGTCCAATCTAAACGAATATGCCCTACAAGCAAGATCTTCTTGCGAGGCTGCAGCGGTCTCACCCTGTGTCAAGAGGTTGAGCTTCTCCACCAGCAGGGTCTGATACTGTGTCCAGGCAAAGTCAAACCCCTCCGGGGACAGCAGTTCGGGAATGCCATTCTTCTTGAAGTATGCATCGTGCGTCAATTGCGGTACTCGGTGGAGGCCTCGAGTCTGGAATCGTGGCAGGCCGGCGGAGGAGGGTTTCTAGGAACGGACTGAATCAGTACACAGCAGACGCAGCATTGCACACAAGAGTGGAATGCCTACATTGGCAAGGGATGAGACTGCACGCAGGGCAGCCTGCGGCCGTAGAAGGCGTTGCAACATCCTGGACGACGGGGAATGCAACGGCGACAGTGAGGCAAGCTCTCGTATGAAACTGATCCGACCGCGCGCGCTCTTAGAATTTCTGCCGATGTTTCCCGTCCGGGACTAGCGCCCCAGGCACGGGGCGGAGCGGCCACCGGCCAATCAGCGGCGAGGAGTTCCTAGCCTCAGCGGCTACTTGGAACATCCGCAAGCAGTCACCGTCCATTCACCTGCTCAGCGTCGCTCTCGTTCAACCGCTGGCCTCTAGCGGCTTCGTTTCAAAGCTAACAGTTTCTAAAATAGTCATCCAGAGCCTGTCATCATGAAGAGTCATCGTGTTCTGCTGCTTGCACTCGACTCCCGGTTGTCGCCGCATGGCTTTTCAATCTGCCAGTCGGCGCTTCCACGCTGCCTATTCTGGGACGTCGGCGCGTGAATCTAATGCGACGCTTCCAGGCTGTCTGCACAATGACATCTGCTTTGTTGGACCCATATAGAAGGGAATTCCCATTGTCCTAATGGGCATTTTTGTCTTCTTTGTTCATTGTTCTTCGCTGAAAGACGCGTCTTGCAGTGTCCTTGTTTCTTTTCTTTCCTCAAGACGATTTTTACCTCTCAATAGTGCTTATAGAATTTCTCATATAATTCATTTTATACCAAGACTCTTTTTCCTTTTTACTGAAATATTTATTCTGGCTACTTAATTGGCGTCTTTCTCTTCATTTCGTTGTCGGTATGGCGAGGCCAATGTTGATCACTGTCCTCGCCATACAACTATCCTTGTCGTACCTGCCCACTACCGTGACAGGCAGTTATGTCCCTTTTTTGGATCTCCTTCCACGAGCCAATGCAGATTGTCCTGCTTCTTACACATCCTGTGGGAACAGTCAGCTGCCGCCAAATTTCTGCTGTCCAACCTCAACGACGTGTATCAGCTTGGATAACTCGAGCTCCGCCATCTGCTGTCCCAGCGGGAGTGATTGCTCATTTATCAAGCCGATTACCTGCGATATCCAGGCACAGAATGCTACTGCCAATCCAGAGGCGGCCTTGAAGACGACGCGACTGACTGACAGTCTTCCGAAATGCGGGGGTTCCTGTTGTCCCTTCGGATATACCTGTCAGGATGGCAGCACATGTGCTCTCATCAAAGATACCTCGTCGGAGGCTCCCTCGTCTACTCAGTCATCCGCTTCATCCGCTTTATCTACTTCATCTACATCTGCTTCATCTGCTTCAGCTACTTCAGCTCCTTCAGCTCCTTCAGCTACTTCATCCACTGCGGCACCTACCTCCACTTTGTCGATAGTTCCTTCCTCAACGCCGACATCCTTTGCTGGTCTCGCTCCGAACTCAACCCAGATAACACAAACGTGTCCCGCGTTTCCTGTGACAGCGGTTGTTGCTGGCTTCTTCCCTGGCCTGGTATCCGGGGCTCTGGCTGCTGCTATCATAACGATATGCTTAAGACGACGAAAGCAGACGGAAACGTCGAAACAGGCTCGTCTCCGCCGCCGGTCGTCAGGTGGAACGATTATCGATATATCGGACCCCATGCCCTCAGACGTCCAGAGTACATTCAGAACGGACTTTCTTCTCCGTAAGGGCAGCAGCCGGTATCCAGACAGTGTCAGGTCGAAGTCTATACTGCGTCGAACCGGAACTCGTGTGAAGAGTTTCTTTGGTTCCAATCCGAGTCCCAAACTGAACGGGGGTTCATCAGATCCTTCTCCGCCTCCGCCACCGGTCCCCGTCACACCACCGCAACAGATCCGTCCACGTCAGCCCAGCACGGAGAGCATCAAGGTGTACTCTCCTGCGAGCATGCTTGCGAGTTCAAACTTGCGACCGGGGGTTCCGAATACCCAACCAGACCGGCCGAACACGACGTTTAGCGAGGTGATGGAAAAGGTTGGGTTTCAGAACCAAAGAGGCGAGCCTTATTTTAGGGTCACAGAGACTCCAGCACCACAAAGTCGGAGTCCACTGAGAAACGGATGAATGTAGACTTAGATGTTCTCATACTGCTGGGGATACTTTGTAATTCACTACTATAGATGGGTTGACCTTGTACAGAAAGTTTCTATCCCACGCTAGGTACTGGGTAATTTTTAATCAGCATAATGACGGGGTCAGTTCATATCATATAATCTTTGCAAAGATAGTAAATCAATATGTCCCTGCCTCCACTGGACAAAACGTGGGCGTGCAGTACCGAGGTACTGTGTTTCCATGATCTGGTACTATTTCATCACCGTGTCGTTGGCGGCAAACTTTGGCTCGAGAACCCATCCTGTCCTCGACATGTACAGAACAAAACAGCCAAATTCAACAGTACCTGTATATCAAGGTCTCATTGACTGATATTTCTCTCTATCTACGGACGATTCTTGTTAAGTTGTTATTCACATACTCATCTTCTTGAATCAGGCGACAAGGTGAGAAAAGGAATCGAAAATGTCCTCCGATGCCACCAGGCCCAACCCCGGCAACGTCATCAATCGATCGAACGACGAAATACCTGACTACGGGCGAGGGGCCGCACATGACAATCCTGATGAAATGGTGCGTTATACGTGCTCCTCCTACTACACCCTTATAGAGGTAATTAACTGACACATTATGAAAACCCATCCACAGAAGAACATCTCTTCTCTCCACCAAAGGGCAGCAGGAGGAGGTACAGGAGCGCATAGAACCAGCTCTCGCCCCGCAGGATCGGACTTGACCTACCAAGGGCAGAAGAGCAAGCGGAATCGGAGGGGGCCGTCGCAACGGCAGAGGCAGCGAAAGTCGCGGTCGAGGACGAGGTCGACATCGAAGTCTAAAAACCGGCGAACTTGAATATCAGTCTTGACAGTAACCGGTAGACGATAACGGAATGGAAAGGAAGAATAGTGAAAATTGCTGCAGCTGCACGTTACGTATTTGTACAGTACATACAGATGTAGTGTACAGGCACTTCTAAGCTCTAAGAAAATTGCGCAAACTTTCCGATCATATAGCATCCCTTACAAATAAATATCAAGTCTCACCACGTATAAATTTGGCTTCAATGAATTGAAGAACGTTGCAGACTCGAAGGTAGGAGTAATCGAAGTATGTAGAGGCCCGGCCTTCCAGCCAATCCCGACGCGGAGAAGCAGAGCATATCCGCGTCCAGTTGATGCCACTTCAGCTTAGCACCGACTACACCTACAGCCAGCAACGCCGTCTGTCAACGCCGCCTGCTTCCATTTTCCCGGCTTGAGAGAGCTCTCGACCTTCGGGAAAGAAATGCCTTGACAATGTCGGGCAAAGATGGAGGCGTCTCAGTTTCCGCAAAGCCCACCGAGGACGACGCTCACAACGCCGCAACCATGACTGCGGCGTCCCGTGCCAGTCATGCCCTCCCTCCTGAGAAACCAGAGGCTGTCTGGACTCGAACCAAGGTCATTCTGGCTTTCTGGTTCGTGATTATTTTCCTGGGGCTTCCCATGTGGTGGAAAACAACGTCTATCTACAGAGCTCGGTTACCCCTACAGGAGATGATCGATTGGGCGGATGGCAAGGTGCGAACCTGACTCGATGCAATCCATACCTGTGTCGTGATGGGACTGTGGAATTGACATACAGTGATGGATCTTTAGGCTTGCCGTCCCGTATTTCCCCTGGAAATCGTCCTCCGGACCCCATCGATGCAGGTTTCGGAGGCGCAGAATCTCCTCCGAACGACTCAGCACGCACTCGATGATCTGAACGAGTTTCCTGCGCATCATCTCCGCCTGAAGCTTGCAGAATCTCCTGATAATGTTGAGAGTGAAAAAGCGCCTGTTGGTGACGACATTCCTGACGCTGAAGATCATATTGAGGGTAGCGCGCACGCCGCGCTGGTCGTCAACCTGCTTCCTCAGGAGACCACTGCTACCCCTAGATCAGAGCTGCACTCACTCTCTTCGCGCCTCGATATATATTACCCACCAAGCCAGGTCACTGCTGTGTCGTCATCTACTTCACCGCTGGTGACATTCATTGCGGGTGAGATCCAGAAATTGTTCAACGAGGAAAAGGCGACCATTGCGCATATCCTCTCGAATGCTGGACAAGGCCCCCAGTCTTCTACACCTGGTGCTCAAGTAGCCGCAAACAATCAGCAGTCGACCGGGAATGCAGGCCTCAATTCGATCTCTCCCGAGTTAGCTGACATCGTCAGCCGGCGGGTGACGAGATCGTTGAAATATGCAGAAACCTACCACCTGACGTTCTCGCTCTTCACACCCGGATCCGAACCGTCGTCTTGGGATATTGAGGCAGCGATCCACGAGTATCTAACTCCGTTATTAGAGGCATTCGCGCCAATCAGCAATTTCTCCGTTGATACCCAAGTCCAGCTCTATGCGTCCTTCGCCCCGACGTCGCCCCGGCCGGAGTACGATGAGTCGCAGAAGCAATGGACCCTGAAACAGGAAGACCTCAGCGCATTCATCAATTCAGCAGAGTGGCCGCTGAGCCCCAGCATCGGCAGCGGCCCAACCATCAATTTCGTTCTCTACGTGCCGGCGCCGTCGCAATCGCCTCTGGTTGTCAAGGGCAGTCAGGCGACGAGCTGGATCGTCCCGCAGTGGGGTGGTGTTACCATTCTAAATCCTCTTTCTCCTGATAACCCATCCAACCCTCCTCATCTTACCAAAGAATCGCTGAAACCAGCTCTCTTGACCTTCTCACACCAACTCCTTTCTTTGCTGGGGACTCCTTCCACGCCTTCCTCCTTACCTTTCCGACTGCAGTCTCTGATCCGCATCAGGGCTGCCACTCTCCTGCTGTCCGCATCATCCACCATGGGCTCTCTAGCTCGTCTGACCAAATCCCTCCCCTCGATCCCCATCCCCGTCACCGTGGCCTCCTCCGTCGCCACCACACTGTCCCATCTCGCCGCGACGTGCCAGCTGCTCAAAGAGGGGCAATTCACGGCCGCCCTGGCGAGCGCACGCGTCGCAGAGAAGGAGGCGGAAAAGAGTTTTTTCGAGAAGAGCATGGTCGGCCAGGTGTATTTCCCGGACGAGCACAAGGTGGCCGTGTACCTGCCGCTCCTGGGGCCGATCGGCGTCCCGCTCGTGATGGGGCTGATCAAGGAGTTGAAGCGAGTGGTTCGAGAGTTGAAGAAGAAGCAGAGGAAATAGGTTAATAATTCATTGTATGTGTACTGGTATATAGAGTTAATAACGATTTTGTTCGTCTTTGTATTCTCGCGCATCACATTGCAACCATTAAAAGGAAAACTTTGGAAACAAAAAAAAACTTAGACCATGAAGGCAATCCCCATCTATGCATAACTTTTTTTTTAGTGGTACAGTGTGTTGTGAAAACAAATATGCTCCTGTAAAAAATTCTTGAATAAAACCCCTGGGTATCTACCGTTCAAACGCCATCAATCTATCCCGTACATTTGAAATACCTGATCATACACCCGACCCGATCAAAGAAATAACCCAGCAGCCAGCGTCTCAAGACTCATCGTGGCAATAAATCAATATGAGATCAGTATTCCTTTTCGAAGATCTTTTGGATCGGTTTTGCGGCCTAGATAAGTAAGACATCGAATTAGCAGTGCTCTTGGGTCAGGTCACAGGGTGACGAGCAAGCAGGCAGCACTCACATCGATAAACCGCTCCAGATCCTGGTCCAGACTGGCCAGGTCCTCCTTCCGCTTCTTGTTCTCGGCGATCAACGCCTGCTTGCGTTTGAGCAGCTCCTGTCGGGCCTGTTCCAGCTTCTCGCGCTCCGCGTGCTCATGGTTGATCCGGGCAATCATCAGCTCGTGCGGGTCGGAGTCTTTGTGTTCGGGATGCAGTTCAAGGAATTCTTCGACAGGGATCAGCGGCAGTTGTAGGTATTTGTGGCTGTAGTTCAACAGACGGTTAGTTTATTATCCAAAACGCGGCGGAGAGGGCTCTCGTACTCGTAAGACTCGCATGCCGCAATCTCTCCCATCAGGTGCTTTTGTTCGTAGTACAGGTTCTGCAGCTGCAAGTGCAGTCGGTCGATTTCCTGTCGAGCTTCCGCAGTGGCCTGCTTCGTCTCTCGAACGCGCAGGATGGCATCCCGGTTGAGGCCGCGAAGCTGGGCAAGCAGCGAGAAGACAATCTTCTGCTGCTTGGAGATGGCTGCCAGAGTCTCCTGAGACGGAGGCGAGGTGGATGTGGGCTCAAGCAACGAGAGAAGCTTTTGGCACTCTGCATGTGCCTCTGCGCTGGTGCGCAGGACCGGCAGGAGGGCCGGATCCGTGACAATATCGTGGACAGTCATTGTTGCCATTGATAATGCCGATTGATGTATCTAACTCCGTTCCACTTGTGCGGTCAAGATAAGAAGAGGGGCAGTTTCCAAAGGCCGAACGTTGGTGGGCGAAGAATGCGGAGGAGAGAGTTTGTCTGGACCGCTTGTTCGCCCTCGTGCTCTTCTCAGAGATCGGGCGCGTGGAGGGTTCGGCGTCGCTGACGGGTCAATGAAGAAATGTCACCAGCCTCCGGCCCGCCTAGTCTTTGTCTAGCGGCGGCCAGTGATGGCAAGACACAGCGATGATCGTAGGGTCCCGCAGCGTGGGTTGGCTGGGCTGGAGCAGCGATCGATGCACCTTGCGAACGGATGCTGGCGAGCAGATTGTCCGCGTGCTGGGCAGCCAGCTGGAAGTTGTTGGGAAATCTCGCACCCCTCGCAGCCCGGCACTTAGCTAAGCTTCTCCCCTCCCGCATCGCAGGCAGTCATGGCCTCCGATTCTCCTTTAAATAGCTCGCTCCCCGTCTTGTATTCGTTACTTGCGTTGAACTGAGTTGAGTACTACCATCTCCATCTTACCTTGTGTCCTCTTTCATATTCGCCATTTCTGCCCAGCTACTTCGACGCCGCTTGGAAATATCTGCCGCAACAAAAGTCCGGGAAGCGTTGGGTGGAGTCCCGGAACCACTTCCTATACCCGAGTCCACAACACAGCAGGATAAAAAAGCATGACATTTTAGGGAAGAAGAGAGAAGGATTATCAGGGTCTTTTGACGGTCAGAATGGCGTGCAAGGCTCCGTCAATGACCATCGAGTCCTATCCGGACGCTATTTCCACCTCCTGTTCGACTCCCAACGACCAGACGCCTCTTCTGCGCGATCGGCGAAGAAGACATTCTTTCCAGACGATAAGGCGAACCTCATGCGACTACGATGCCGACGCAATCTTTCTGAGGGTTAGTTGAATGTTGCGTGTTCGTCTCTTCCGTGAATCGTCCCCCCGTCTGACGTGGTCATAGGTGGAGCTCTTTCTTGTCGAATTGGAGAGACGGCTTCAATGGTTGGAAGAATACCGGAAGTCCCACATGGAACAGGTCGATGCGAGTTTGAGGAGAGGATATGCCGCGTTGGAAGCTGTGAGAGACTCATGCTGTGCCGCCTCGGGGGAGCTGATGGGCGGTGGTAAGAAACGGGCAAAGATTCTCGTCGAAACCCTGGAATCCCGATACAACGAAGCTCTCGCGACGAAGGAGACACTCGAGCAAAAGGCTCACGCAGGCATGCGACTGATGGAGTCCTTCTTGAGTGAGATCGAGTCTCGAGTCCATGCCGTCCGGGACAGAGGCCTGTCCGGAGCATTGGACGAGGGCTGGAAAGCAGTCGACTCGGGTCTGACGCATGCTCGGGAAGCGGTTGGAGAAGCGGTTGATGAGGGTATGGAGCGCGCCCGGCGAGCCAAGGACGCTCTTCGCGAAAGCATCGATCGTGCGATCCAGCTGGCGCAGAAGAACCGTCTGATCCATTACTCCGACCTCCCACACCCGTGGAGAGTGAACCCGCACATCCTGCAAGGATATCGTTTCACGACCTCGAAGGTGGAATGCCTGGCGTCGATCTTCTCCTTCTCGAACGAGTTGGTCAACATCTGGTCTCATCTCATCGGTTTCTTCATTGTCTTGGCCGTGGCTTTCTACTTCTACCCGCTCAACCCCAACTTCTCTCTAAGCACCAAGGCGGACGTGATGATCGCTGCTGTGTTCTTCTTTGCAGCTTGCAAGTGCCTGGTCTGCAGCACCTTATGGCACACGATGAACGGCATTGCCAACCAACCCCTGATGGAGCGCTTCGCTTGCGTTGATTATACTGGAATCTCCTTCCTAGTTGCGGCTTCGATTATCACCACCGAGTACACTGCATTCTATTGCGAGCCCACGTCACGATGGATCTACATTCTTCTCACACTATCTCTTGGTGTTGGCGGCGTGATCCTCCCCTGGCATCCGACCTTTAACCGTGCTGAGATGGCGTGGGCCCGGGTAGCCTTTTATGTCACACTGGCATTGACCGGCTTTGCCCCTCTGGCTCAATTGAGCTACACCCGGGGCTTTGAGTGGTGTCTGTACTTTTACGCGCCGGTGATGAAGAGCATCCTAGTATACTTCCTTGGAGCGTGCATCTATGCTTCCCAGATCCCGGAACGATGGCGCCCCGGACTTTTTGACTATTGTGGAGGCAGCCACAACATCTGGCATATAGCTGTGGTGGGGGGCATTCTGTTCCATTATTGTGCCATGCAGGATCTCTTTGCGGGCGCCTTCCAGCGAGCTCAAGGCGAATGCCCAACCTTGACCAGGTGATTTGACTGGCATATTGCTGAATTCATGAGTCAGCTTACCCTTATACCCTGTAGATGATTGACCCTATTGTCGTTTGTTTTCCCTGTCTTGCACAGAATCGACAGGAGAAAAAAAACACTTCCATTCTGCAATTATAGTTATGGCAAGCGCATTTGTTTACGGACCGGTAGTCTTGAGACAGTTGAGCATTTTGTGTCCCTTAAATTAGACGAGCATTTCTGATTGCATATTCCTGGAGTTACGTGTCTCTTGACCATACCATGTTCTTGCTTCTTGTCTAAGTCAATATCATACGATTGCCAGTGGCAATTTTGGATCTATCAACGAGATCGTACTTACTACCTTTATGTAAGTATCGATTGAGTCCCCGAATAATGAAAGTAGCACGTATTCGATCTCTGATGAGAGACATGCTTGCTGTTTTGGCCATATCTGTCCGCCTTGATCATCCAGGTCAACCTATGCAATTTTCTGGTCAGAGGCTCGTCATATGCCACCCGCTTAAAGCGCATGGCTTCTCCCAGGAGTAGTTCTTTGAAGCCGTGTTATTTTATTTCACAGCGGTTAGCAAACGAGAGATGCAGTCGTGTATAAAAAATTGCCTTTGACTTGCTATTCCGGGGTTCGTTTCCCTCTGGAATTCGCCTGAATAACCGCGTCACGAATCTCCTCTTCCTATTCCTACGCAATGAGATTTTCAGCGCGTCGAGTATCTCTCCACTGGCCGGGTCCCCGGGATGGGGTGAGCAATTCATCCTGTGCGAGGAGCCACTCAAGAGTGACTTGTAGCCGTCTCGTGACTTGACGACTTCCAACGTCTTCACCATCTCGAGTGCTTTCTGGATTTTTTTTCCGCCTGTGACACGAGGGACGTTCTTACGGAACGGATCTGTCAGTTCATTGAGATTCTTGATCTGGCCGGTCAAGAACCCGCAGCCCAGGGAGCTGTACGCGACGACAGCCACTCTCAGCTCACGACATGTCGTGAGCAAATCCAAATGGGATTCTTCAATGTCCTGCGCAAAACGACTGTATTCAACCTGCACGGCGGTGATGGAGTGTACAGCATACGCCCGGCGCAAGGTCACGGCGAATCTTGCCCTGGGTGCGACTGGGGAGAGAAGTTAGCAAAGCACGTTCCTGCATTCGATTAAACAACAAAATATAATGCTTCTTGATGACTTTTCGGTTCGACCATCGCGGCGATAGTTTCAGCCCCTTCAGGCTCCTCTCACAGGCCTCCTTTGCATACTCCGGATCGAGTGGCATACACGCGGCGATTTCCTGGAAGGTGCTCGTTCCGCAATAGCTGTGCAGCTTATTACTACCTCCCTAACGGGCGTAAGATAACGAAAAGGTAGAAAATCCACGGTATTGTCAGGCATAGTCACTGAATCACAGTGGTTGTTTGTTTTCCTGATATAGTAAGCGCATGTTGTTGCCAAATTAAATAAAGTTCAGCGGGTGCGGGAAGACCCACCGACTACTCAAGACCCATAGCTCTCGTGGATTCAGTTAACCCGACCAACTAGTTTAGTTTCCCGACCATTCTTGGCAAAAGTCATGTGATCAGATTCTGCTGGATGGCCTGTGCCTATTGCCTGGCCTTAATAAATTACAAAACATAGGATTTCAATTTCATTTACCATAAATTACAAAATTTCTATATACTACTGTTACGAACCAACAGGAGACAACGCTGTCCAACACAGCGATGCAGGATGAAACAATTACCTCGCGAGGCAGAAACTACACAAAGATATACCATCAGGGATCACGTGACATGGTATAAGTATACCATTCAGATATACCAAGAAAGGTATACCAGAAAGGCCCCGGAAGACCTCGACGGCATACCGTTGTAAGGTATACACATGGTATACTCAGGAGGAGATATAAAAGGAGGAGATATTCCAGTCATGTATCTAGTTCTTTCCTTACTCGCGCTCAATTTCAATTTATCAAGATCATTGTTACTAAGATACTTACTTTGGGGGTCAATAAGACTTCTTACTACTAGTGGTATACTTCAGTATAGCTCTAGTAGGCGTTGCCTCTGACCTAGTCTTTATTGTTATCCTTACCTACTACTTGTTGTGTGTCCCTGCGAGACCCCACTATATCTGGAGAGAGAGGTCGTTCGAGGAAGAGCCCTTCGCCAGGTAGGCCGTTGTCTCAAGGAGAAGAGACCCGGGTCAGTTAGACCGTCGCGTGCTCGTGAACGACATAGAGTCAGGAAGACTCCTTGATCCTTCCCTAACCACCACTGTTAAGTATCGACGACTACGGTTGGACCCAG